AAAGCTTGTTGCTATGTACCTGACGTCATCCATAACAACAGGAGAGGCAGGTTTCCTAAAATCCAAAGCGCTCGCTGGGTCTTCTCCATGTAAAGAGAAGGGAAAAAAAAAAGTTTCCGAAACTTTTAAATCGCCACCACGATGCCCCCGAAGAAGAAGGGAAAGAAAAGCGGAGAGCAAGCAAGTAAAAAGGAGAAGGATGGACACGGTCCCGGAGCTGGGAGCCTGGAGGAGCCGCTGTCGGAGCTCAGTAAGGAGTTTTACCGGGTGCAGATCCGGGACCTGGAGGACAGGCTGGAGAGGTGAGCGACCGCTTTGCTGTTTAAATCTCCCGAAGCAACAACAGCAGAGCTACAATGGCTGATAAGCTGGAAAATGAGCAGAGTATTCAGCAGATATTAGATCACTGTGCACGCTGAACGTAAGCATATGGCAGTGATAAAGGATACTGGTAACAGATTTAGCAATAGTGCAGGGCTTATTATTTAGAATACCACACATCTCGTTTTCTTCTGTGTTTTTCGTTGGTGTAAACCACCGTCTGCACGTTGTCCGAATGGCTAGACGGTTAGACATGGCTTTCCCTGCAGCGAAGGAACAGTTTGAAAGTGGAGCCGACACTGAAGAAGGGCTACAGAGCCGCTCTCTACTTCAATCCCATCGCTTCAAGCCCGAAAGTTTGACCGGCCAGACTCTTTGGCGTATATAAGAACATATAAGATACATATATATACGTCCAGATAAGGACTTACAGTTGTATTTGAGATTTTGTGTACCTTGGAACATATTACTATATTGTCATGTTATACAATATTGATTATATATCGTATCTAATGCTATTATTATTAATTCCTTACACTTATCGTGCTTTTCTGGACACTCCACTCAAAGCACTGTACAGGTAAGGGGGAATCCCACTACCGCCACCAATGTGCAGCCCCACCTGGATGATGTGACGGCATTTATTGACCACAGAGAGTCAGGACCTCAGTTTTACATCTCATCTGAAGGACGGTGCCTTTTTACAGTACAGTGTCCCTGTCAGTATACTAGGGCACTAGGACCCACACAGACCGCAGGGTGAGCGCCCCCTACTGATCCCACTAACACCTCTTCCAGCAGCAACCTTAGTTTTTCCCAGGAGGTCTCCCATCCAGGTCCTGACCAGGCTCCCACCTGCTGAACTCCAGTGGGGCTGCCAGTTATGAGTTGCAGGGTGATATAGCTCCTAACGATAAGATGACGGCCTTCCCTTGATCCCTGAATTTCTCCAGGCGCACCAGTGTCATTCGCACTGCAGCCCGGGAATGTGGAGTCCAAGACGGTCTTCCTCCTTGTTGACTCCGGTCCCCGCAGGTATCAGCGCAAGTGTGACGAGCTGGAGGTGCGCGAGAAGGACTTCGGCTCCCGCTACGAGCGCCTCGCCAAGGACAAGAGGGAGATCGTGTCCTTCCTGAAGCGCACCCTGGACCAGCGGGCCGACGAGCTGGCCGACCTCGCCGACCGGCTCCTGGGGTTGCAGCAGGCCAAGGAGGCGGAGAAGGACTCCTTCGAGGCCCAGCTGGCCCAGCTGCGCCACGAGTTCCAGGAAAGCAAGGACCAGCTGACCTCCGAGAACATGGTGCTAGGTGAGGGGGGGAGGTCCCTGGGCTCACAGATCTTGCTGCACTGTCTCCCCCTGCTGGCTGTAACAAGCTAAGCAGTCTCTGTTCTCTGATGGTGTTGTGGGCGCTTCTTCATCAGAGGAGCAGGACACAGTCTTGTGCAGATTCGGTTTTATTGAGCTCAATAATGACAGCAACGTGCCCTGGGTCTGCCCCACAGAACAGACAAACTGCGAGGGTTTCCCAGCTCTTATATGCAGTCAGAAAGGAGTCTGTTTCACAAGCTGAGTGCTTGTCCTGTTCTTTGACATGGGGGGTGGAGTATGTGTCTTCCTATGATGCAAAATATGTGAATAGCAAATCAAAAAATGGCTTTGGGATCCTTTGAGATGAAAAGCCTTCTATAAAGTTAATCAGGTTACCTAGCTGTGGGTTGAGTCAAATTCCTGCAATGGAATGGAACCTGTGCAGTGCGAGATGCTGCCTGACCTCAGCCCTACTGTACCCGCAGCGGGGAAGCTGGCCTCTCTGGAGGAGTTCAGGGTGCAGAAAGAGGAGCTGATGGCGCATCTGGCCAGCCTGGAGGAGCAGCTGACCAAACAGAAGCAAGAGCACCAGGCTGTCATCTACAACTTGGAGAGGAAGGCAGTGCTGGACAATGACAGGTCTCCGACATCCCACTCTCTTGCTGCACCTCGGCCTCGATTACTTGCAGCTGTTGAACAGATGGCAGGAGTCTGTTGCCTTCGTTAGTTAGTTATCGGCGGCAGCTGGCTGTGAAGTTTCGTATTTGATAGCCAAGTCTATTATCTATGTCTGTAAATGCAAAACACACGTTGCGTGTCACAGTCAGTCAGCTCAGTGTTATTATTTTAGTTTTCCTGAAATGCCATCCTTAATGGTAAAATGAATTAAAACAAACTCAACGGTTGTTTCCAGGAACATTTAAAATATTCAGGATATATGACACAAAGTACCATATTTCCCATCTTGCAAATACTTGTTCTGGCTACGTATTTTCTAGCAGTGGTGGAAACAC